GATATATCGCAATATGTGAATCCCTGCATTAGACTGACTATCACAAGATGATTTGCGAGAACTAGTAACTACACTAACAAATGAGATGTCTAGTGCATGATTGTAAGATAGTTGAGTTCTCCAACAAGTCTCATATATTTGTTAGGATCTTTTAGAGGATCCCCCCGTCCTGGAATAAGCTTAGTATTTGGATCCATTAGATTGCCGACATGTTTGAAGTCCAACATACCAATATATTCTAAATTGTTTAAGGCATATTTCTTTAGAGTAATAGCAATAGCTTGACTAGGCTATGCCACTTCTATGCCTATAAACTATTTCAACCTTCTTAAATCCTTAACTGTGAAAACCCAACAACAACCAACTATGGTTTTTCCAGATCCCGAGTACCATTATTATGCAAAGAAATCATCTCCTCAATCATAGTTTGACGTCAACCTGGATGAACCATTGCTTCTGCCGAAGTCTTAGAAACTTTGACTGACAACAAACTAGTAAAGAAGGCATGATACGAAGGTGACAAATGATGATAACTTAAATAAGAATAAATAGGAGTTTGATTGGCGTAGTTCTATTACCTTTGCAAAGAGCAATAGGAAGATCATTTGATAAGTGCTCGACCAAAGCTGAAGACATTGTTGGATCAAGTAATGAGTCACAAAGATTCCTTTGCGTACTTGCATCAAAGTTAGAAATACCATCTGGATTAGAAAGTTTAGAAGGAGGTTGAATCGTCGAGAATAGACCTTAAAAGTTGAAGGTGGAGCTGGGGGTTGGAATAGTTGGAATGGGAAAGACTGCTATGGCTTTATGGTTTTTCGTATTAGGAGATAATACGGAGAAGTCTAAAAAAAAAAGTAACATATCCAAAGATCAAGGACCTATTGGTAGAGGAATCAAAGCATTTATAGCCTTTTTGTAGACGAGAGTACCTAAGAAAAACACATTTAAAAGCCTTGCACTGAAGTTTATCTTTTTCGGGGGTAAGGTTATGAAGAAAACAGGTGCAAGCAAGCACACATGTAGGAAGGGGATATTTTTAAGTCTAGATAAAGTACTGATTGCAAAAAGTTGAAGGCATGCGATTGATTACCTAACAAGCAGTGATACGACATCACCCCAAAAAACATAAAGGGACATGATTGCAAATGAGCAATGTTCGAGCTGTTTCAGTTACATGTCTGTTGTTTCGCTCAATAACTCCATTTGATTGAGGAGTATGTGCACAAGAAGACAAGTGCAATATGCCCAGGGATGTCATAAAGGAAGAGAGAGAAATAAAGAAGTATTCTCGGGCATCATCACAGATTTATTTCTTAATGAAAATACCAAACTGATTGTGAATTTCAGCATAATTTTTTTGAAAGAGAGTAATAGCTCAGATCTATTTTCATCAAAAATAACCACGTGCACGGAGAATAGTCATCAATAAAAGTAGAGTTAAGTGTCAAAACACACACATAAACTATCCTTTTTTTTAGTTTTATACCTAAACTATTAAGAGTGTGAGTTTCATACCTAAATTATCACTTTTTAGTATGAGAAACACACCTCGGAGGTGTGCGTAATACAGTCTCATTTATTTGAGGGTTAGATGGGGTGGGTAGATTTATTTTTTTTTAATAAAATATTATTTAAATTTGTCTTTGAGGGTTGGGGGGAGGGGGAAGAGAACAAGTAAAAAGAATTAAATTCTTTAGTAAAAGAAAGTTAAACAATAAAACTTAAAAAAAATGGCCAGGGGGATTTGGGGGGCGAGGGGCGGTAATAGTTTTTTTTTTTACATTTTATTTTATAAAAGAAATATTATTTCTTTGGATAGTAATTTTTAAGTTTTAATTTTGACTAATACTAGTCATTTATCTACTTTTTGTCAAGGTTGAATGTTTTGTCCATGTAGAGTGTGATGTGATACTATTTTAAAATAAAAGAGAGTATATCACACACACCATGATGAGATTGGTATAAAAGAGAGTGTGTTTATCAAACTAAAAAGTGATAGTTTAGTTATGAAACTCACACTTTCAATAGTTTAGGTATGAAATTTAAAAAAAAGGTTTAATTTTGGTGTGTTTTTGAAACTTATCTCATAAAAGTACCAACATAATGAAAGCCTAAAGAAAAACTAACATGATTTGGACTTTATATTTTAATGAATGATTTCAAACATCGAGGTGTCCTACTATTGAGGCGCTTTGGGAAAGAGGCACGAGTGTGCTTACCAAGCTGACACAACTCACATTCTAACAAAGATGAACTAGACAAATTGGAAATCATCTTTTGCAATTTCGATAAATAGATAAATTGGAGGCGGTGAAAGGCGACAAGGGTTTGTCTCGCCTCGCAACGAGGCACTCGTCTTTCTGAATTGAGGCGCTAAGTAACAAAAATTTAAAATATTTAATTGCATATATAAATATCATAATATCAATAATTTAGAAACTATTTGTTGGTCCTTGAATACCATAATTTTTTTTGAACTTGGTAACTTTTTCTTGAATACCATAGTTTCATCTTATGCCCTTTTCGTTAGTATTAGATGACATTGAATTCAATATTTATTTAAATATATTATTTTAATTTGTATAGAATTAAATTGACTAGGGAAATAAGTTAAGTAAATCCAAAATGAAAAAGAAAAGCATAGCATTGCCACCGAAAAACAAAGTAGAGAAGAAGATAAGAACAGGAACAAAAAGAAAAAGAAAAGAAGATAAAAAAAGGAGCGACAAACGTACATGAGTAATGTCGCGACTCGAAAAGGTTTGAGGAGCAATTGACTGTCGAGGTCTCGTCCTCTAGAAGGCTAGAGAGTCGTGGCGGAAGAGGAGAAGAGGATAGTGAAGGTTAAAAAGGAAAGAAGATGAGGCCAGTTTTTCATAAACACCAAAAAGCCATATTTTTGCCTTCTAATTATTAAATTAAACTTTTTTTAAAAAATAGTTTACGTCGCCATTGTGCCTTTGTGAAATCGCATTGCCATGCATGTAAAGGCGACGAGGCCTCCTTCAGATAACTTCTATGGCCTATGTGAAAGCAACATGTGGTATTTGAGGTAGAGAGTTGGTACAATCCGTGTAACTCAAGTCCTTTTCCAATCGTCTATTTTGTATTCGATCGTGCGTAAGAACAGAATCACCAGAGAAGGTTATAACGCATTTCAATTTATTTGTTAATTTGCTAATGTACATAAGATTATATGGACATTCAGGTGCAAAAAGGACTAATTTTAAAGATATGAAAGGTTGAGGATAAGTATATATGTCCCTTTAGAGTTAATACCTCAGATGGTCACTCAACTATGCACTCTCTCTCAGAAAGTCACTCAACTTTCAATTTTCACTCAAAAGTCACTCAACTATGCACTTCTTTCTCAGAAAGTCACTCAACTTTGAATTTTAACTCAAAAGTCACTCAATTATTCAGTCTTTCCTCAAAAAGTCACTCAATTTATTAAATTATTTTTTTAATTAAAACTTATTGATATTAATTATTTATATAACAAACCAAATTTTTTAAAAAAAATATCATTTAAACCATTTAGTGATCCACCCCACTTAACTCTACCCATTAAAAAATATGATATGACCCATTTTATTTTGTCTTAAATCCTAATTCAAGGTTTAAAGAGAGGGATTAATTTAGGATTAAAGACAAAATATAACAGGTCATATCATATTTTTTAATGGGTCGGGTTAGGTGGGTGGATCACTAAATGGTTTAATTATTTTTAAAAAAAAATTGATTTGTTATATAAATAATTAATGTCAGTATTTTTAATTAAAAAATAATTTAATAGGTTAAGTGATTTTTTGAGAAAAGAGTGGATAGTTGAGTGACTTTTAAGTTAAAATTCAAAGTTGAGTGACTTTCTGAGAAAAAAATGCATAGTTGAGTGACTTTTAAGTGAAAATTGAAAGTTGAGTGACTTTCTGAAAGAATAGTGCATAGTTGAGTGACCATCTTAGGCATTAACTCTGTCCCTTTACAATTGTCTTTGACCCATTTGTCAAAGTAACAGTACAAAAGATAATAAAATATCAAACAATCTCCTAACTGCCTAATTTTAGGGATTAAAGAATATTCTCATATCTAGACAATTTAATAATATCATATATAAATGCTTTCATATCTACACTATTTATATATACCAGAATTAACAATTCCTATTTAACTATTCAATATCAGTTGTAAAAAGAAAATATATTGTAGGGAACTTTCTGCAAATTTGATTTGATAAGTGGGATCTTTCAATCACTTTTGTTTTTTTTTTTTATAAAAAAAAAAAGTTTAAAAGTTGGCCAAAGATGCCCATTTGTTAAAAACAAGGCAACAAAGCATATACATGATCAGGCTCAAAGTGACCCAATCCAAAAAGAAACAAAACTGAGGCCCTATTAGGCCATAGATTTTTCAAGTATCATTTGGGGGAAATTTTGACAAATAGATTTTGTCTATAGAATTTGTCATTATTTGGTAAATTTTTCAAATTTTGAAATACTAATTTTTTTTAAATATTTAGGTCAAATCTTATTATTTGGAATCTTTTAAAAATTGAAGTTTTACATCAAACTTTTATGTTTACAAAAACACCCTTCTATAGTAATTGTTTGTGTTGTATTACATAATTTTTTTACGTGAACACCAAAATGGTGATGAATATTCGGTGAATAAGAAAGTGATGATATGGTTATTGATAAAAATAATGAACAACCAGCTCAGGGTAACAAAGTCATTTGTTTTGTCTACTTCACGATATATGTAATGATACTTGTTATACTCACTCCAAATTATCACATTTCTCTAGTATCATGGATACTACTTGTTATTTGTTACAACGAAAATCCAATTAACTTGTAATACGAACTTATGACTAGTTGTTATAGTTTTTAAAACTTGTGAATATAAATCATGTTTTTCTAAAAAATGAAATATGTTTTCCAAATACTATGGTCAAATACAAATAAATTTTCACCCAAATAATATTTGTCAAGAATATTTGGAAAACTATAGTCAAACGTTAGCTAAATAGGGAAGTATCTAAAAAGGAAAAGAAATAGAACTCAAGCTTCAAAAAAGCATCCATGGAGATGTCTGGAAAGCGTGTCTTATCCGTAATGAGGTTGACCATTCGTGCGCAAGTATACATCTTGGTAAGACTACTCTGTGATTCTACTTACCCTTATGCATCTTATGGATCCAAACAGTACAATTTTGAGCTTCCTCTTCACTCAAATTAGTACACTCACTGCAGATCTTTATCTTACCCATCATATCAATACCCGTAAATCCTCCCCTGCCTTATTCTCAATTATGATGGGTTCAGTCCCATTAAACAACTCAGTAATGGGTTAAATAAGTGCTACCAATCTTGATTTTGTGTAAGTGTGGATACTCAAACCGATTGAAAATGCTTCAAACTGTAGGCAAAAGCGGATTTAAGATTTGGAGGTCGGGGGTGCCACAACGTTCAAGTAAGATGAAAGGATCGGTTGCTTTAATTTTGGATTATAACTCGGGTATTAATTTTATTTATTTTTATAAATGAATTGATCAAATATGCATATAGTAATATTTTCTTTTAGATATTATGTAATTAGATATAATAAACAATTCAATTTTATTTCCTTTTTGGAATTTGATGTCTTCTTCGCTGAAACTTTTAGGAAAATAAGATTTTTCACATTAAAATTTGAGCTTGTATAAACCATCTAATAGTATTAACATAATATATTCATCTTCCATTGACTTTATGTGTTATTGGAAATATATAGTTGAGAAAGAATAAAAATTGTAGTTTTAGCCTAGTCAATCTCACATAGCAAAAATGTCGATGAAAATCGAAATAACCTTTAAATTAAAAAAATTATTTTTGAAACTTATGTTTTTGTAAAAATTACTATTTAAATATATTCTTCATAATATTTATTCGATGCTCATAATCATTACTCACTAATTGATAAAAAAAATAAACATGTCACACTCATATCAAAAGATTAATAATTAGTGCAAGAGAAAATTAAAAAACGCAAAATTAATTATGAAAATGGGTCAATTTGAATTAATAAAAAATAGAAATAAATAAGTAAGAACAAATGTAGAAAAAGAAAAGAAAAGCAAAAAAAAGGAGTCACTTGGAATTAATAAAGAATAGTCATAAAAAAATAAGAATGAATAGAAAAAAAAAAGAAAAGAAAAAAAAAGAGCAAACAAAAAAGGAAGCGTTGATGGTCAAATTTGAACCTGCATAGCTTAGGTGACAGATTCGCTCCTTTGTCAGCTGAGCTATTTCACAACAATATTATTAGGTGACAAAACGGATATATATACAACGTTTTTTTGGAGATCATGGATACTGTGGCACCCCCACGGAGGCCACATAGATCCGCCCCTGACTGTAGGACATCTCTATTTAAAATATTTTGCTGGGCACAAGAATTTGCCTACATTGGATGTTAACAAAATTAAAATGATAAGTCTGAACCTAAATCATGACTCTTCATATGTTATGAATCCCCATATAGTCAAGATGTAACAATTTCCATTTGTTGTAAATGATCAAAATGGTTTTTCATGTATTGATGTTGCTTTATTTTAATCCTTAATTTATTTCAGGTGATTGAAATAGTCCCTATTGTATAATAAAATATGTTCTATTTAGTTCTTTATCCTAAACTTAACAAACTTGTGACGAAAAAATGTTAAATATAATTGTGGGGCCCACATAACTTACAAAATCCATCATTTTGCGTTCTTTATTAGCTGAAAGAAATAGTTTCATGAATTCTAGCACTATTTTCTCTAACATCGAACAACACAATTCACAAAAAAATTACTGTAAAAAGGTTGAATAAAATCGATCGTCAAGAGTCATTGGTTGAATGTAACAAAAATAGAAAATTGAGTTAATTGTATAATCTATGAATTGAATGGCATAATATTTTCATTTTATGTTGTTCACTTGTTCTTGGTACTTTCTGAATACATGATTGTTTTTGTTAATCTATTGACATTTCTTTCCTTTGGTTATAATAATCCTCTTTTGTTTATTGTTTTTTTTTTGTTTGGAGTAATTAATTCTCTAGAATGGTCAACGTGTGGGATGATGGGGATTTTTTGTGGGTAATCTAGAACAAGGTTTAATTGATGAATTGGAGTTCTTGAATTTTTTTATTGGGGCAATTGCTGTGAATTTTATGTACCATCCTAGTTTGGTTGTTGATTGGTGGGTACTACTTTGATTTATTTCTTGGTATTTTTGATTGAAAAAGCCATGTAAGTGATGTATTCATTCCCAGTGTGGCTCACCGATTGATGAACATGACTAGATTCAGCATGTGAGTTTGGGTTCTTTTTAGTGTGAAGTAATGTTATCTTGTGCTTGGTTCTATCTTTTGATTAGAAATGTTTAGATGGCTGGTATTTTATTTGTTCTTGATAAAGTAGTGTTATATCATGATTTTGAAGTAATAAAGAAGACAAAGATTGAGGATTTTGTAAGCTACGTTGGCCCCACCATTATATTTAATAGTTTTTGGGGACAAATTTGTTAAGTTTAGGGTAAAGAATCAATTTGAACACATTTTGTTATACATTAAGGACTATTTCAATCACCTAGATTATATTAAAAATCAAAATAAGGAAACCCCTATACATGAAGGACCAATTTGATCATTTTCTCGATCAAACACAAAACCACCTGCAAAAGAAAAAATAAGGTTTTAGCAAAAAAAATCAGCAAGGGTGTTTTGCCCTTACTGTTATAGAGTTTAGGTTTGCCTTGATACACCTAATCTCTACTGAAATAGTCAATTAGACCTCCCAAACTCCATTTTGCATTTTCACTAGAGCAATGAATCAGGCTCTATAATCACATTGCTAATTCCATGATCCCTACAAAATATCAGGCCCTCTCTAATTGCCTCAGCAACAAGGTTAATGGTGTCGTCCATTTTAACTCCTTTGGCAAACACAATCTCTGCATTTGAATCTCTAATCCAAAACGCAGCTGAACTAGGTCCGGGATTACCCCTGGAGGCTCCATCAGTGTTGCACATAACCCAAAGCACAAGAGGGAGGATCCACTTAACAATCTTAAAGTAAACTAATTGTGTGAACTCATCCAGTAAATCAACTAAAGCATGTCAGGTCTTGTCTTCAGAAGAGATCTTAAATCTGAGAAACATAAATTTTGTTATTGTATCACTTACCTCCCAAATCAGTTTGGCACTAGAAAATGTACCACCATGAAAAATGGTTTTCCTCCTCTATCAAATAAACCATAGAATAACAATCGGAATCACCTGATATACTACCTCTTTCCGGAATTGCCATCCAAACTCCACCACTTTCTTATATTCTGCTTGAGACAACGTAAGGAAGAAATACCAGTAGCAGCAGAGAAATACCTCCAAACACTTTGAGAAGTATCTCCCCTATGAAATAAATGTTCTATAGTTTTCACCACAGGATTTGTACAACAGCCACAGATTTGATACATTTGAATCCCAACTATGCATAAGAACAACAACTGGCATTTGTCCCTTCCAGGTTCTCAAAGCCTGAAAAGAGAACTTGAATGGAAGACCTTTACACCATAATTGGCTGAGATCTGCACATATATCACTTTTATTTCTCAAAAGACGGGCACTTTTAGCAGAAAATTTGCCTGTGCTATTAGCAGTCCACCAAGGTTTGTCACTTTGAGGTGATTGCTAGATCATATTCATGGTATTTCTGATATGAGAGACGACATGTTCAGGAATATAAGTTTTTATCTCTGCAAAGTCCCATCCCTGCTTATTAAGAAAAACATCAATATTTTTCATGACATGACAAGAGTGCACATTTGTTTGGTGTTGAAACAAAGGACCGTGATTAGTCCAATTGTCAAATGAAATACTAGAGGTGTCCCCCCCCCCTCCTGCCCTCCCCAGGTTCCTACCATATAACCTATTTCAACTTATCTCTGTTCTCCAGCATAAATTTCCACATCTAAGACCCCCTCTCCATTCATCAAAATAGGAATTTGTTTCTTACAATATTTGTTCCATTAGAAATAGAATTACATAGTGTTCTGTGTTTTGAATCTCCACCAAAGTCTTGCATTTAGAGATTATGATGCATCAAATAGGGATCTAAACCCAAGACCCCATTCAGACTTGGGCAAACATACCCTTTTTGTTTTTTCTAAAATACCCCAACTGGGTAAAAACTAGATTTCCCTTGACACTGTTAATGTGATTGTACGTTTCCTCATCAAACTTGTCATGTAATATTGTATGATCCCATCCATCCTCATTAAACAATTGGCTAACAGATTCCACTTGACTATGATCATGATTCAGATCCACATGATAATGCAAAGCCCTCAACTGTGTCTAATTGTCAAACCATACACTAGTATGTCCTTTGGGTTCCCACAACCCCACCATATCTCCTGATAAAAAAAATCCCTTGCCAATTGTGAGAAATATTGGAAAAGAATAGTATTGAATTGTTGTCACGTTTACATTATTACATTGATACCCTATTTATAAACCCTAGAATAAAATTCTTTGCCAAGTAAGATACTATTAAGTATTCCTATTATAATAGGATTCTATAAACCTATTCCTATAGATCGTATAAATCTATTTCTATTATAACACTCCCCTCAAGCTTGTGCATACAATTCATATACCTATCTTGTTACAAATGTAATTAATACGAGGACCGATGAGGGCTTGGTGAGATATCTGCAAGTTGATAAGTCAATTTCACAAAATTTACAATCAATCTCAATGTGCTTGTCTTCTCATTAAATACTGGATTTGATGCATAATGTTAGTAAACACAAATATAAAATTCCAGTGTTGAACTTCCCAAACCAAACCTGCAAAGACTGCTTCAGATCATAGAGTGAATCGACATTCAAGGCTACTGAACTCCCCCTAAGCAACAAAGTGCTCAAAATTTAGTATAAAGTATATGGATTATGTTGGAATCAATAGATGAGTCGATATTAAACAAGTCCCCAAAAACATGGCTCGAACATGCTCATATGTCAGAGTATTAGATTTGATGGATAAAAGTGGTCACAATCTATGAAGTAAAATTATATAGGTAGGTTCAGAATGATGTCATGACCCTAGAAAATTGAAATTATATAGCATAGTTCAAATTGATGGAAGGACTCCATTGGAAAAGAGAAATAATATGGGTAGGGTCGGAATGATGGCACGACCCTAATGAAAAAGAGTAATTATATAGGTAGGGTTTGAATGATGGCACATCCCTACGCAAATCAGATTTGAGGAGTCACCAGAAAGACAAATGGAGCTACTCAAATCAAATTTGAGAAGTCATCGAAAAGACATATGTGCTATGCAACTCAGAAATGAGAAAGTAGTTTCGGAAAAAATCCACGGTAGTATGCAAATTAATCATGAAAAGTAGTCCAGAGAAATGTACGGTGCTATGCAAATAATATATGCAAAAAAAAGGTAGTCACCAAAAGGAGTGCTACACAAATTATATG